GCAACAATGGCATACTATTAAATATGCATGCATGAAATTATCGGAACTGTTAAGAAGTGTATTAGTGTGTTTTAAAAAAATGCACTGAAAAAACCAAACTAATTTAAAGTGAAAATTTAAAATAAACAAACCATAAACTGAAAAGAGAAACAAACTTAACGAATGATAAATTAATTAAGGATAAACCAGAGAAAATAAAAGAATAAAACTTATTGATTAATTAAGTAGTTACTTATTATTTCAAACTTAATTAACTTATAAGTGTTTCACCTAATAGTTTAAAGGTTATAATTTTTTTTTTGCCTCGTTTATGTAGCGCTTAGGTTGATTATTTGTGTTATTTATGAGGCATGACTGTTACATCAGCATTGGTCGATGGTTCAAATTCTAGGATATATTTTTTCTAAATGTAAAATTGCATTGTAGACATTAGAAAATATTTTTTAGTTTATTTTTAATTATAGTTTAGGTTTACATTAGTTGTCAAAATAAAATATTATATGTGTGGTCATGTAAAGAGTGCAACTGCAGGTATCTCTTGGTAAGGCAATATATATATATATATATATATATATATATATATATATATATATATATATATATATATATATATATATATATATATATATATATATATATATATGTTATATATATATATATATATATATATATATATATATATATATATATATATATATATATATATATATATATACAAACATTGGCATGAAGAAAATTGTCCAGCGCGATGTTTCGCGCCCCTAAAACTCAAATATTTTTTTAGAGAGCGTGATTAAGTGACAAAATGTAAAATTCTTTCGATTTCCTAAATATTTATTATTTGATCGGATCTGATTGTGTTTTTTTTCCCAGCTAGTTCTTAATGATCTTGTTTTAAAGAATAAATTTATCTTTTATGTATTTTCTTTGTTATTGTCTTCATCTTTAACTTAATACTACAGTCAATTTTTTTTTATTATTACATTGAATTTATTTGAAAGAAGTTCATAAGCTTTCATTTTTTTCATTGTTTCATTTGTTTAATTAAAATATAAATTCATGTTTTCGCATTATTAAAGCATTAAAACAATGAAATAATGATTTCTTTTCATTAAAACATATTTAATGTTTTTTCGTTGCTAACGCTTATAGAACTTTTATAATTTTTTTAGCTAACATTTTCACAAACTTAAACTTTTCTTTTTCTCAAATAAATTTATAGTTTTAATTAATCAAATAATGTTTTTTTTTTATTTTTATTTTTTTTAAATTTACCTCCTCAAGGCTGAGAAGGCTACTACAGACGAGGAGGCTACTTATTTGTGGTTATAACCCTCTCTCAACTCTATAACTCCGAAACACGAACCTTGACAAACAATGCCGCTGCGTGGAGAAACGAGTTGAGCGCGGTACTACCAGGACGTGGTGGGGATCAAACTCAGAACCACTTTTTTATGAAGCGAGCGCTCTACCACTACACCACTACCGCATATATAAGTTTATTTAAGTTATATTATAGTAAGTTTATTTAAGTTATAATTTTAATAACAAAAGCTTTTTAAATTTAGTTAAATTTCGGCCGAAAACATTTTAAATAAATAATAACTTATAAAAATTCTAAAAAGATTTGTTAAAATTCTTTTCTATCAATATTGGGCTATTAACTCAAAGAACAATTAGAAGTTTTAGTATTTTTGGGTTTAATTTAATATTTTTTTCAAAATTAAATAAAACTTTTATTATTATACATATGATTTTTTGCAAATGCTTTTACAAAACTTAATTAACAACGTTTCTCATAATTAATTTGTATTTATTACACAATTTAATATTATTAATAAACTTATAAAAATAAATAAAATTTTAATTTAGTTAAATGTTTGCTGTTAACGTTTTATATAAAGAAGTCTCAATCAAAAATCACTTTTCATTGTTCATAGAGATTAGCGCTCAACAGAATGACGCAAGTTTACTTGAAAAAATGAGTTTTTTAATTGAAGTATAACTTTAACACTTTATCTCAGTTTAAAAAACGCAATTAAAGATATGTGAATAGAGATCATTTTGTTTTGAACAATAAGCAAACTTTTTTGTTTAATTAAACAAGAATCTATAACAAAAAACTTTTTATAAAAAAAATTTAATGTAAAATCAAGTAAACCATTATCAGTTTTCTTCCTCCCAAATTTTTAGGACAAATCCGATTTTTTACTCTTGTAACTAAATTAGAGAGCATTTTTTATCGCACGCGCAATTTATAAATATTCCATTAACGAGCGTGTTTTACGTGATAGGAGCAATCGCTCCTGCTTCATGCCAAGGCCTGTATATGTATATACCAATACATTTAATATAGGTTATTATTATTATTAAAAAAAAAAGTAATACCAATTCTTTAATTTCTTCTATAGATTTTGCAGCTTTTATACTTAAAATTATATCTTCAGTTGCTTCATTTTTGATTTTTTTAATCACTTTTTCAGCTTCAATTTCAAGATTTCTGTCATGAGAAATAAAAAGAGTAAAAAATAATAGTAGTCAATCAGGTAGATCTGCTAATTTAAACTTTTTTTTTGACAGTCAAATAGAAAAATATTTTTTTAGTGAAAACGAGTTACTTACAGCTGGAAAAAAGGAAACATTTTTTAGAGATAAGGTCGCAGCAAGGTTGAAGTAGAAATAAAAAGTAAATGATAAAAATAAGAGAAGAGCATACAAAATAAAAATGTTGTAGGAGAACAAAAAGCTAGACTAGCAAATTTTAGTATTAGGAATTGCAGTGGGTAATAATACATCAAATGTATACATGGCAGATTATTTATACTAGATATAAAGATATAGATAATAATATTATTAACTCATCATTTATCCAAATTTTTAGTAAACTTTAACTATTTTTATTACTTTTTAACTTCTTTTTTTTTACTTTTTTCATGCTTCCTAATACTTTTAAAAACATCAACCCTTATATATACTTTATTTTTATTTAGAACCCTTTTATTTACATTTTATTTAATTTTTTATGCTTCTAGCTTCTAAAAACATCAATCCTAAATAGTTAATACAGTATATAAATATATACTGTATTAACTATTTAGGGTTAATGTTTATATAAACCCAATAGCATTAAATAATAAACTGTCAAATGACTACATGTGCTTTAAACCTTAAAATAACTAAACTACTGCAAAGATATTCTTTAAAATATTTTTTATTAACAAAAAGTTTATTTTCATTAAATTTTACAATCATATAATTACAATAATATAATAATAAGAATAACAATAACAATAATAACAATAATAATTTTATTCATTAATAGAGCAAAAGTATAAGCAAAAATAATAGTATTTACAATAATATAATAATATAGTAACAATAAAAATAACAGTAATAAAAATAATAAATAATAATAACAAAAACAATAGGAGTTTCAATAAAAATAGTAAGAAGAAAAAGAAAAAGAAAAAAACTAAAAGAAGTTAATAATGATAAAAAACTGAAATAATTTTTTTAAAATTTATTTAAGTTTAATTTGCTTTAAATAAAGAAATAAAGATAAATTTTTTTGAAATTTTAATTTTTTGAACTCATACGCAATGAAATAAGACTGCATGACATACACAATGAAAACAAGACACTGATGCACTGATCTGATATTGAATACTTACTATACCTAAAAGTTTTATAGGAAGGTACATTTAGCTTTCCATTATTGGTATTTCTAGTTAAATGTGAATGTATAGTTTCCAAGTTTCTGTGAAAAAGGTTGTAATAGAAAAAAGTAAATTTTTATTAAGGAAATCAAAAACAAAGAGAAGATTAGCAAATCTAAGTAGCGCTGACAATGTAGGAAATTTAAGTTTTTTTTTTAATAGTTTGAAGTTTCTGTATTACAGAGTTAAAAATTTATTATTCAGATTGATTGATGCTGAGCCGATAAAAATTTTCTAATATTATAGTTGCCAATTTGTTTTCAAACCTGACAACAGTAATTGAGATAAGACTGAAAAATAACAAAATACAGACTCTTAAGGGTAGTTTTATCAACATAATGGCAAATTATTGTAAGCATTTCTTTAAGCTTGATTAAGTTTTTTACAAAGTGCATTTATATGAAAATTCCATGAGAGGTTTGAGTTAATAAAAACACCAAGATATTAATGATGTTTTGGATATGTCTAAAATTTTAATTTTAGTAATACAATTTTTGTATAAAAGTTTTTGCCTTGATAAAAAAAAAATATTACTTCAGTTTTTTCAAAGTTCAGAGAAATTAGGTTTGCATTTAGCCAATGAACTAAACCTTTTATATCTAAATTTATACTCTTATACAAGAAATGATAAGACTTTTAATATGCAAGAGTATCATCAGCAAACGGACTGATGAGAAGTGGACAAAGTTATTTTGGTTATTAACATATATCAAAAACAGTAGAGGGCCATAAATAGAACCTTGAAAAACGTCACAAACTATGTGTTTATTATTTGACTTGTAACCATTAATTCTAACAAACTGCTTCTGATTTAAGAGATAAGAATGAAACCAATTACAAGCAACTCTTCAGATTCCATAATGTTTAACAACAAAATGCTTAAAAATTAATTATATTTATAAAAACTAATAAAAATATACATAATAAATTATAATTAATAATGATAATATATACAATGTTTAGAAATTAAAATGGTATGATTAACAAAATGAGTACCAAAAGCTTTATGTAAGTCGATAGAAACACCACCAACAAAATGACCAGTATCAAGTATTTTTTTGGTTATACTTATTAAAGTGTGGCAAGTAGAGTGTTTCAATCCAAAATTGGTCATTGATCGATTTTAGATCAAATCACTCTACTTGCCAGGATAGAGTGTTTTGATCTAAATTCAAATTTTGATCAAAATCCTATAAACTATGAAGATTTGGATGCTTTAGATAATTTTTATAGCTAATGTAAGATGAGTGAATTAAGTTTATGAGTAACATCTGTGAAAAGTTATTGAATTCTTTGCAGATTAGAGTTGGTTCAGTTATGTATGTTTCGTTAACTTGTAAACAATTTGAAGTTAAATTATTAACATTTTTACATTTGTTAGAATTTTTATGCCTTTCCAAGTTTCACTAAGATTTTTTACATTTTCTGAAAAAAATTTTTTGAAATGTATTTTTTTACTCAGTTTAATTAGATTAATTATGGTATATACACAGCGTTTAAAGATAGTTTTTAGTTTTATTACATTTGTTGGATCCTTAATATTTTCTCTTAAATAAGATTTCAAATTAGAATTGGTTTTATTATTCCTTTAGAAACCCATTGCTTGAATTGACGCTTGTAACTTTTAATACTAATTTTTTTGAGTGCCACATGACAGCAATGTTGTTTGAGAAATAAATACTACAAAGCTGGAGCATTGCTTCTATGCATCATTTTTACTGGTAACATCATTCTAGTCAACTTTTAATAATTCAGATTTAAACGATTCTTTATTATAATTTTTTAAATTCATGTAGTATAAATTATAATTGTGTGGTATAAATATTTTTTGAAATTAGAACAAATAAGAAATTGAGGTGGGTGATCAGAAATAAAAGTTGTTAGGTTTCTTGAAATAATTTGGTTAGTTGGTTACATTTGAAGATATTCTCTAAGATTTCAACATTATAATAAGTAACTCTTGTTTCAGTTTGACTGTACCAGACCCATGTTAAAATAACCATGTAGAAAAACTGATTTATTTTCAGTAGACATTTTTTTGGGAAGGACAGACATTTTATTATTGAATTTGTTTACATCCATGCTAGGGAGTCTATATATGCAACTAACAATAAAATTAGATTATTTGGAAAAAGTAATTTAAACAAAAGTAGATTCTAAATAGTTTGATGTGTATATGATCAAATCATCTCTCCTTTTATAAATCAGTTTTTTTGATAAATATAACAAGGTTACCCCACAAAAAGATTTGGTTGGTGTGTGCTCAAAATTATAATTTTGAATAATAATTGGATGTGTCGAAGGAGATCCTTTTTTTAACCTTGCTTCTGTCATTACAATAATGCTAATTTCAAAATTAATTAGTGATAATAATATGTTCAGATCTTCAAAGTACTTTTGTTAAGAGGATTTATTTAAATGGAAAAAGGACATAAAGTTAATGATGCCAAAGTTATGAGAACAAAACTTATTGTCATAATATTGGCAATCTACATTAGAAGAGAAACGGTTTTCCTCATCAGAAACTGAAGCATGTGATAAAATAAACTTTCTAAATTAAATATTTTATTCAATCCCAATGCTGGAAACAGTTTAGTTGATAAAGGCAAGTCATCAGTTATAATAATTTTATTAGAAGAGTAGTTTAAATAAATTATCAGATACAACAGTCATTGGAAAGACACCTTTAGTACAATTTACACACAGCCAAGTTGAGTGTTTTGATTGTGTTCAATTGTATGATCATAAAGTTTGCTGCATTTTGTATGAGCCAAAACAAACATGCATCACATTAAATTGCACTGCAACTTATACAACTTTTTTTGTACATGCAGTGCATACCTCCCTTCCCCCACCTCCACCCCCTTCCCCCACCACCATCCCAAAAAAAAATGGAGTTCATAGTGAAATTCTAAATTTGGCAAAATTTTTTCCTAACGAGGAAGAAAATTTGCCAAATTTAGAAGAAAGCTTGAAGTTGTTATGTTTTAAAGGAAAAAAAGCAAATAATAATGAAAATAACAACAAAAAATAATAGCGTTACAATATTATCAAAAGCAATTATAATAGCAACAATTATAATATTAACAATAATGGTAATGCTTTCCGTAAATTAGGCAGCATTAACTCTTTCAATACCAGTCACCCGCTATGCAGGGTATGATAATTTTTAGTAAATGTGACCACACTGAATACGGCATTTAATTATTTTACCAAGACTAAAAAAAGATAGACTTTTAAAAAAAAAGTTTTGGCGGCCATTTTTCTGACAAACAAAACAAAGTCTCATTTGTGAAATTTTGACTCTTTATTCTATAGCTTTTTAAAAGATAATAACAATTCACTTACAATTGTTTTTTTGTATTTTTTTCAGTAACGAAGGGGTTAATAAACAAACTAAGTAGTCGTTCAAGGAATAAAATGGATAAATATGTAACGGTTTGCCTACACCATGTATATTTTTACTTAGGGGTTACTACACAATTCGTGTAACTTGTTGTGATTCATTTAATTCACACAATGTAAAAAGAATATTATTAAGAATAATGTTAAAAGGTATTAATTAATCACAAAACTGTTTTGAAACTATAAGTTTTGTAATTATAAGTAGAGAGATATATTTGTAAAATATTCACTGAAGCTTGATTTTTAATGTTTTAATTATCATTCATGTTTTTAGGAGGATATAAGAAAATTATTCTACAACTGGCTGGAGAATTGAAGAAACATTGGTATTAATGATATTCGTGGAGAAAAGATATGCCCTTCATGTAAGATTAAAATA